TCAGCAAACTCCCTCACACTTCTTACGCCCTGGCACCACCTTTTCTCATCCACTGATTCCTTCACCCTCGTTTCGATCCCATTCGCCAGCCTCCTGCATCCCTGGAAGGGGGGGGGGATCGAGTCCCCCCCGCCTTCAGCTTCCAGGAGCAACCCCAAACCACTCCAGGACCCACCGGACAAGAAACGCACAAGGAACCTCCAGGAATTCCTCGAATTCCTATGCGCCGCCCTCCATCTCTGCCCACTGCCCGCCATTTCCCTGCACCCCCCCCCCTCTGTGTAACCCTGCCCCCCTTGGACTGCAGCCCTTGCTTTCCCGCCCCGTCCCTACCCTGCCCCCTGCCTCCAGAATAGGCCGTACCTTCCTCCTCCTGTTGCTCCTCCTCCTCCTCCTCCGCCACTCCCCCAGATCCTCTGTCATCTCGCCCTTTCGGGTCTATATATATATATATATATATATATATATATATACGGTGATAGTAGAACTAATAATAATCATACGAATAATACGAATAATAAGAAGGATACGACTGATAACAATAGTAGCAACAATAAAACTAATCATATTACTAATACTCGTATGATGAATAACAGTAGAACTACCGATCATCATGCTATTACGAAGACAAGCAACACTATTACGCATACGAATAATACTCATATAAAAAATCGTTCGGATAGGACGACGACCCTGACAACAAAAACACGACTGATAATGATTATAATGCACGAAAAGCAATGCGAATGAGACTAACAATAATAATAATAATGCTAACACGAATAATAAGAAGACGGCTACAAATAAACAGCTTATAGGAAGAAGACTCGGCGAATAACAGATGCGAATGATGCGGGCGAGGGGAGTGAAGACCAGGAGGAGGATGGGGGGGTAAGGACGGAGGATGAGTGGAATGAGGAGGAAGAGGAACGCATGCATGTCTTTGATTATGAGGCCACGTTCCCCTGCTGTTAAAGCGAACCGTCGAACGGCTACCTGGACCTAAGCATGACAAGATGATGATGATGATCGGGGAAGCGGGGGATCCAGGCTCGCTCGAGGTAGCGTCGTCGGTGCCAGCTCAGAAATACGGATGCTGAGGGGGAGGAGGAGGATTTGTTAGAGGGATGGAGCGACGAACGAGGAGGGAGGATGACGAGGAGGAGCAAGAGCGCAAGGGATAGTGAAAGAGTGGTACGGCTGAGGACGAAGAGACGGATGATGAGAATATGCAGGAGGCTGAGACTCAGACTAAGACTGAAAGAGCAGCTACTCTTGAGTAGGGTGGGGAAGAGGAGGAGGAGGAGGAGGAGGAGGAGGAGGAGGAGGAGGAGGAGGAGGAGGAGGAGGAGGAGAAGCGTGAAGATGAGGAGGAGGACGAGGAGGAGGAGGACCGAGATCAGACGGAAGAGCGAAGAGAGGAAATAATATGAGGGGCACAGGAGGAGGAGGTGGTGGTGGGCAGCTCTAAGAGATGAGAACATACAGCTGTCTATGAAGCGAAATAAAACGAACAAAACAAAGCTAACCGGCAGCGGCGGCGGCAGCACTCAGAGGAGGAGGACGGGGAAACCTTATCGACAGCGACAACACTTGCACACTCACTTGCAGGCCCTCCCACCACTCTCTCCCGATCTCCAGGTGATGTGTTCACCTTCATTATTGCGCCATCCTCCTCGCCCCTCGGCGAGCTCTACCAAGTCGATCTTCTGGGAGTGGGGCGCGCCAGACGCCGGTAGAGGGCGCCACGCGCTGCATTGCTTGGAGCCTCGAAACCCGAATGCTAACCTTGCTGGCCAAAAGTACCGAGCGACACCCGCCGGCAACGCCACCGCGCATGTCTACACCCGAACATCACGATCCACTTGCCCACGAGAATTCATCCATGCGCCAGCGATATTGAAAGGGCCCTGGGACACACAAGTAGATATACACAAACAAAACATCCAAATATTTTCCAATCTGTTCTGAGTTTTTGTTTTCGCCCCCACTTCCCATACTTTCGCATATTTTCCTAGGGATCGACGATTAATTGTGTCTGTGTTTCCCCTCCTGAGATATTCATGACTTCGTCGCGCGGCATGATCTCGACGGGGGGGCACACCTTACCGCGAGGATGCGGTGCAGAAGCGCTGTGCACCAATAGACTGATGCGCTCTTCGGGAAGGTGTCATCCAGATATTTTCGACTACGCGCAAGAGTGGCCCCGGGCAAGAGTGACCTTTGGTGCGCGGCTTTTTGGGGGCCGCGGGGGGGCCGAACACGGGCGCGCAAGACGCCGCAACCGCCTCGCGTTCGGCGATCGGGGACGCCGATGGTCCCGCGCCAAAGGTAAGTCCGGCGAAGAGTCACTCTTACGCGCAGTCGAATCTCCCCTTTGCCCCCCCCCCCCCCCCCCGGGCACCTTCAAGAGCAGCATGAGCCCGCATTACAAGAATTATCGCTGCAGACAGCAATTGGGGTCAACGTGCAGGTGCAGAGACATCGCCACTTCACATGATGATGTCCACTGTCTGCTACATCAATCAATGGCGCCCTTGCCTGTCATCAATGCATTTCTACCATGTGGGATAAAAGCAATCTGAAATCACCACCTTGGGGAAAAAACAGGAGCCAATGCAGAACCCTCCGCCGCCCCGCGAGTGACCGCCGAAGTAGTGGCAGTCTCACAAAACAAGTGCACATTATGTAGAATAGATCTCACGTGCCTCAGAAGCCAAGCAGCAATTTCATCGGCAACACCACATCGCTCGAATGATTGCAAGAATCTAAAATGACATGCAACATCGAAAGCCTTGGGGGCGTCAGCTGATCCGCACGCGTACTGACATCCACCTTGCATGAATGTTTGCGCCATGGGCGTGACGATAAAAACCATGTCCATGACGCTGCGTTCCTCGCGATGCGCAAACTGCCGGGGGCGTAGTCAATGATCCAATCTTCAGTGGATTCACGAAGAGCCCCTCCCACCATCTTAGGTAGCACCGGCGCGACGGCCATCGGCCGCAACAAGTTAGACTAACCAGGGGCCCCTTCGGCGCCGGAGCCAAAATCGCACAGCGCGCGCTGAACATTCACGCGAATGAGAACGGCGTGGAGAGGACGGTCAATAAGACAAACGCGTGTACATTAGACCTCATGGGACATGTCACCAGGAAGACGCCGTGGCATTACGGTGCAGAAGGCCCCCTCGAATCCTCGGACGTCCAGATCAGGTCGTTGACCACGCTCTTCTTCGACGGAAGATCCGTCGTCGACGGCGCCCCAGGCCGCCGCTCGCAGCCGCCCCCCGCCAAACGCGGGCAGCACATAACGTGCGCATGTTGGGGGCCCCTTTGCCGCGGAGCGCAGCAATCCAGAGCGCGAACAGCTTCGCCGGCTAAGGGGTCAGCCACTCGACTAGCGCAGCGAAGGACATGGGGAACACGGACCACCGCGAGCTTAGGCATCATTGCCAGAGCAGTAGAGCGGCAGAACCGCGCGCGACAATCCGGAACCGCCCAAGAGACCCGCCAACTGATTAAAACCAGGATCGCAGTCACCCTCGATCGCGAAATCATGCCTGACATGATCATTCGCACGTGCGAGAGCAATTTCAAGTAGGAGCAGTAGAGTGGGCCATTCAGCATCAATAGACGACGCCCCAGGATGAAGACATTGGCAGTGCGACATCAGTTCGATGATATGATGATCGTAAATCATACAGCCGTTCCCAGCACTCGCACCACCCCTCCGAACGCCGTCGCATTGCCCGACCCGAGCCCTACCATGAGCGCCAGGACCCATGTCTCCATTATCACTACTTTCTGGCATATCAGCGGGGGCGGCGGCACCTTGCATAGCGAGAGCTTGTAGCACCTCAGTAACTGCCATTTCAACCGGATAAGGAGATTTACGAAATCTGAGCTGCGTAGTACTGTTGAGGAGGCGAGAGATATCGAATGCGTTGCCGGCGACGACTCCGCAGTGCACCCGCGAGGGGGGGCCGAGATGATTCGGGCGAGACTCCACAAACTGCTACCTGTGATACTTCTGCCCAGCATCAACAGTCTCCGACAGGCCAGTGACGGATCGACATGCTCTCTGTTGACCACTCAGAGCCAGCCGCCCCGCGTTGCCGGCGGCCTCCCCGCCGCGGCCGCCAACTCTCATGTCCGCCGACTGCCTGAGGCGACGGCTGATGCTTCAGCTCACTCAGCTTCCGCCGCTCTGCCCAGACTCGACGCGCGCGCAATCTTCTCTCGCCGCGTCCGCGCCAGCCGTCGCTCGGCCTCCAATTCGCGCGGCTTCGCGCGGCCCGACCCCGCCGCGACTCGAGCGCTCGGACCGCGATCGCAGGTGGCAGCAGCATTGCCAGTGATGCTCGAGAAAACGGCATCTGGTTGAACGTCGCGGGCAACTTGGCGCGCGAGCAACTCTGGGCGCTGAACTATTCACCCAATATGCTTGTCCTCGCGCCGTGCCCTTTCACGTTGACAGCCGCGCTGCGACATCACCATCCGATGATCTGCAACAGTCGCCGCTGCGTCCAGGGGTCGAGTCGGCCGAACGCGCCCGCAGTAAGGGGCTGCCGCCGCGCGTCCGTCAATCGACGCGATCAGACCCGAAAGCGAACCCAGTTGGCGCCGACACCTTCGGACAGCGCGCGCGGGGAAAAGTCTGCCCACCCTGCGCGGCGGAATGAATGAGCCAATCGCCGCGATCAGCACGCGCGCCTCGGGGGAACATGGCATCAGTTCCCTTGCCCGGCTCTCCGGGCACCAAATCAGCAGTGAAGTCCGCGCCGAGAATTACCGCATCACGGGGCATGTGATGCAGTGGGACACACTGGAACATATTTCAAGTAGCTGCGTCGCACCAAGCCGCGGAACTGGCCCGCGGGAGACCGGCGGGAGCGAACCGGAAATACTTAGACAGGGCGGGCGAGTGAGCGCGCGCTGCGCGATCGCGAGGCGCGAGAGGAAAAGGCATAAGAAAATGAGCGCGCTGCTGGCGGATAATCATTGCGCGTCCACGCAGGCGCGCATGACCAGGAGGGGCCGCGACAGCATGTCCTTGCGACCTGACTGGCAACCGAGAAAAGACACCACGTGCCTCCTGCACTAGGAGAACTTCCCTTTCACATTCCCCAGACATGAATCCGAGGATAATATCTAAATCCTCAAGGGCCACCCCGTAGAATTTAGGCGTGACGGTATTCAGCGATGGAAGGGCTTTCTTCCCCCGAAGATTTTGCGCCGCGACGTCTAGCTTCGAAACGAACAGTCGCAAACGTCCTGCTTGCTCCTCTCGGTCCTCTCCAGGGCCATATGTTGTTCTGGATCACGACAGAAGCTCGGCGTTGATGCTCTCTTCGCGTTGACAGGCTGACCAGGCACATCGATGTAGGCACCGGCCTTCCTCTCCCCAAACGCATCTGGAAACCGGATATTGTCTTGAGGGGCGGCGATCCTGAAACGCATACCTTTGCCTCCAGCGGAAGACAGCACTGTGACCATATTCGCCAGCGTTGACGTCACCTGGCGCTGCTCCATCGTCTGATGTTTCTTCTTCATCCAGAGCTTGAGTCCAGGAGGTGGTACATCTCCAGGCCCACCAGGCACACATAACGCCCTGCCACCATCTGGACCACTGAAGTTGGCCTTCTCCACGCATTCGCGATGGCGTTCCAAGAAATGCCCAGGCAGCACGATCATCGAGCACATAGTAAGCAGAATGAATCCCAGGAGAAACCCACTGGTCACAACGTTGAAAGCGCCATTCCCCTGTGGAGCAGACTGGATAGCACCATGAGGCGCTGTCGCTGCCGTGGAAGCCACACTAGGCGGACGAAAACCTAGCGCTGCTGACTGCGCCAATATCATTACCTCCGCCGCCGTCTTCTCCACACGCCTGGCCGCCTCAGGGGCGTCGTCAGCCTTGGAGTCTACCTTTTTCAAGGTATCCTGCACTCTCTTGAACCGGCCTCCAACCGTATTGTTCATGCCCATCATGAACTTCATCAAATCAGCGTTCGTCACCACGCCACCGGGAACATTCGCCTGTGCCATCTTTTCATCAGGGGCGGAGCCGCTTGCTCCACGTTTGGTCGTGTCTGCTGCAATGGGCCACGACGGACCCCCCGCGGAAAGCGGCAAGGCAGCTGAATGCCATAATTGCCTTGACCCATAATGGAGCGGAGGACGAGGAGGGGGAGGAGAGGGGGGGGTGGAGAAGGAGGAGGAAAAGGAGGAGGAGGAGGAGGAGGAGGAGGAGCCAGACTCGCAGTGCCAGGACGGCGCCGCAGGAGCAACGCATGCCGGCGGCGGCGGCGCCTGCAGCGGGCTCCCCGTCTGCAGCGACCTTGGGCTGAGGGGCCACGGGCGGTGCCGCAGCGGCGGGCCCCGCTGCCCCACTGTCGGCCCCGGCCGTGCCCCGACGCCGAGCACCACCATGAACGTGATAGGGGCCGAAGTGTTCGCTTCACCCCGCCCTTACTCCCCTAAGTTGCCCTCCCGTCTTGCTCTCTCCTTCTCGCTTCTCGCTCCTCCCCGCGCCCTCACTCCACTCCGCTCCCCCGCTCCTCCCGCCCCTGCCCTCGCTGCTCTTTTCCTCCGTCTGCCCTTCCCCGCTGCCTACCTTGTCTCGAGGAAGGGTGATGAGGGGGGGGGGGGAGAGACGGGTGGATGGATGGGCCTAGATGCAGCGTCGGCTTCCTGTGCATTGCTGAGCTGCCACGCTGCTAGCGCTGCAACTGCATCTCGCACATGTACGCGGGCTGACTTGGCAGAGGCCCAGCGCCCCCTGAGGAGCGTTTCCTTGAGGCAGGGTGCATGGAAGGGTGGGTGAGTGGGTTTGGGGGGGGGGGCCTGGATGCAACGAGGGCGGGGGCGTGGAGGCACCGAGGGAGGGCGAGTCCCTGGAAGGGCGGGGAGAGAGAGCGCCCGAGAGAGGGGCCTGTACCCCACCTGCGCGCCGCGCCCGTCGCCCCTCCCCTCCCATCGCCCCCCGCCCCGCTCCCGCTCCCGCCCCCTTTCTCCCCCGGGCCGGGCGAGGGGCGCCGCAGCGAGCAGGGCAAGAGAGAGCGAGAGAGAGACCCTCCTCCCCCTCCTCCTACTCCTCCTTCTCCTCCTCCTCCTCGTCCTCCTCCTCCTCGTCCTCCTCCTCTATCTCCTCTATCTCCTCTATCTCCTCTATCACCTCTATCTCCTCTATCTCCTCTATCTCTTCTATCTCCTCTATCTCCTCTATCTCCTCCTCCTCCTCCTCCTCCTCCTCCTCCTCCTCCTCCTCAGCGAGAAAGAGAGTCATGGGCACAGGCTCGTCAGTGGAAGAGCAGCAGGCAGAAGCAGAGCCTGTCGGAGGCCCCCGCGGACCGATCGGCTCAGCGCTGGACCCCCGCTTTCTGCGGGCGGAGCGGGCCCGTGCCGGCGGCGACGATAGGGGCAAAACGCCCAGGGGCGGGCATTGCACGCATTCGCCCGGGAGCCTTGCCGAAGACATAGATCATCGGCACCCCTGGATACATGTATTGCTCTCCCCTGGGCTATTCGCCCCTATCGTCGCCTCCGACCGTGGCGGCGCTGGAGGCGCCGCCGACAGAGGGTCCGGCGCGGATCCGAGGGAGCCGCGCGGACCTCTGCATGGTTCACGTGCGGGAGCCGGAGAGAAGGTAGCGTGCAACGGGCCAGGGAGGCCGGAGGGCAGGTTTGGGCGCAATGAGGCGCGGAGGCGACGAGGGCGAGAGAGAGAGAGAGATAGAGAGAGAGAAACACAATAGGAAAACAAACACGAACACTAGTAGTATTCATATAAACAAGATTGCGAATTATAATTGAAATTCTAATATTACTAACGATAATACTACTAATCATACTAAAACACGAATACTAGTATTAAGAGTAGGAGTGCGAATCATAATACGAGTAATAATAGTGTTAGTAATAACTGTACTAATACGAATAGCAACAATAATAGTAATAACGGGACTAATAAGAAGGATAAGAAGAAGACGTGCACAAAACTAGCAAGAAAGAACGTCTGAGGGAGCGGCTGCATCATCTTGTTCACGTGGGAGCTGGGAAGGGTGGCCTTGAGCCACATGGTGCAGCCGAGTAGGTCCTCCTGCCCGTCCCCGTCGGCCGCCACCTGAGAGCTCGCGTTGGCCTGCCACAAGGGTGGGAGAGGGATCTTCCTCCTCCTCGCCTCCTCATCCTCCTCCTTGGCCACTGCTGCCCACATGCATCAGCTGGCCCGTCGTGCTCCCTGCTCTCTGTGGCCGCCACCACCCTGCCTGCGGCAGAGAAGGAGTGCCGTCGCAGGCTCAAGCAAGGCAAACAGCGAACGCTCAACATGGCGCGAGCGAATCTGCCGTGGCCAGTCTGCCATCACAAGGGCACGCGTGCACAAAGGGGTAGCAGGGACAGACTGAGACCGGAATTGGATGGGCGAAGAAGCCCAGCTAGCCAGGTCGGCCGAGTCAAGGGGGCCCCATCCGCTCCTGCCCGCTATGACTGCGACCTACGCCTGCACACACCAGCAATATACCACTCGAGAGGCGGTGTGTGTACGCACCTCGGACGGCGATGTACACGCACCAAAGGCGGTCGCCGAGAACCCGACGACGACGACGACGTTGACCACCACCACCACCACGACGAACGACGACGATGACCATGACAAAGTTGACGACGACGACCAGGACGAAGACGACAACGGCGACGACCACGACGACGACGACCACGACGACGACGACGACGACGACGACGACCACGAACCACGACCACGACCACGGCCAGACCATGACGACGATGACGACGACGGCGACGACGACGACGGTGGCGGCAGCGGCAGACGGCGGTGGCGGCAAACGGCGACGGCGGACGACGATGGAAGAAGAGGAAGGTGCAGAAATATTGAAGGTGGTCGGAAGCAATGTCGGAGGACGAGGACGATGAGGAGGAGGAGGAGGAGGAGGACCAGAGTACGGGCAGGAACTTTGCTTAGCACGTCGCCGCGGCGGCCGCGGCGACACCCAATGCCTTGCAAGCGGATAGCGTGTCGCTCCGCTCCGCGGGGTGGGAGGATCGGAAAGGCTTGGGACGGGAACTGGGAGGTGGATATCCTATCGCGCCGAAGTGTGGTGGGCCAGAACCGGCGGCGCGACACGCTATCCGAAAATTCCCAACTGGAAGCCCATGATGCATCACCGATGCTCCAGAACACCGTCCCGTCCCATCTCCTCTCCTCAAAGTCCCAACAAGCTGTCCTTCTCGCTGTGGGAAGCGCCCCCCTTGAGAGACGTACGGCCCGGGGGGCTGCTATTCAGGCGAGGCCCCGTTTTGTAGAGGACCCCCTTTTTTCCATCCTTCCAGCTACAAGACATGCAAAGAGTGGAGTCATACAGTTCGAGTGTCCAACGACAGCTCCGTTTCGAAAAAAGGTCTGTCCTCTGTCCGTGTACGCGTCGCGCAGACATGAACATTTCGGGTTTGCCAACGCGCTGACGTCTCAAACGGCATCCTGTAGAAAAGGTGCAGCCTGTCGAGGAGCCAAGGCGAGAGCCCCAGTTTGACCCTCCCCCTCCATCCGTGTAGCTGCTGCTTTGTGAAGCGAGCGTACGCGGCGCCAAGGCGAGAGCCCCATTTTGGAAGCGGCCCGTACCCAGTCCGTGCAACTGCTGGAAACTCCAGGCCTCGAGATCTCGTGCCGAACCATCCGGGCCCGCCCGAATGGTACACCTGGTGGCGCAACTGGGAAGGGTTCTGTAAGACAAGGGGATGGAGTATTGCTTTGCAGCGCAGCCACCATCCGCTAGCGGCGTCGAAAGCCCCAACCCCTGAGTAACCCGGCGAAGAGCCAAGGCGAGAGCCCCGTTTTGACCCCCCCCCCCTCCGTCTGTGTAGCTGCTGCTTTTTGATACGCCTGGTGGCGCGACAGGGAGGGGGCTCTGTAAGACAAGGGGACGGAGTAGTGTTTTGCCGCGCAGCCACCATCCGCTGGCGGCGTCGAGAGCCCCAACCCCTGCGTAAGAACCGAGAAGCGCGGGCCGGAGACCCGCGAGGGAGGCGAGCCAGAGCCCGGGCCCGAGAGGACGACCGACGAAGTGAGACAGAGAGAGAGAGAGAGAGGAAAGAGGGAGGGAGGGAGGGAGGGAGGAGGAGGAGGAGGAGGACGCGGAGGGGGAAGAGGAGGAAGAGGATGGGGAAGGTCGAGAAGGAGGAGGACGAGGAGGAGGAGGAGGAGGAAGGACGAGGAAGAGGAGGAGGAGGAGGAGGAAGGACGAGGAGGGGGCAGCGAGGAGCGCGAGGCGGCGCCTCGGACGGCGAGATGCACGCGCCGAAGGCGCTCACCGAGAAGCCGGCGCCCTCGCGCCCAGCGCCGCCCCCGAGGCGCTGCTGCATCTGCACGAAGGTGCCTGCACGGGGGCGGGCGGGCGCGCGCGGTCGGCCTCGCCGCCACCGCCGTCCGTCGCCGCCGCCGTCCGTCGTCGTCGTCGTCGTCGTCGCCGTCGCCGTCGTCGCCGTCGCCGTCGCCGTCGCTGCCGCCGTCCGACATCGGTCGTCCGTCGTATCCCGCCGCCGCCGTCGTCGGTCGTCGCCGGCATCGTCGTCCAGCCTCCATCCTCCATCCTCCATCCTCAGCATCATCATCATCATCATCATCATCATCATCATCATCATCATCATCATCATCATCACCATCATCATAATCATCCTCAACATCATCACCATCACCATCACCGTTACCGCCCCACCATGATCGTCATCATCACCATCATCACCATCGCCATCATCATGATCATCGTCATCATCATCACCATCACCATCACATTCACCAGCATCATGGTAATCGTCATACTCATAATCATCAGCATAACCATCATCACCATCATCGACATCAACATCATACTCGTCGTTAGCATCATCGCCACCATCACCATCACCATCACCGACACCATCATCATTATCATCATCATCATCATCATCATCATCATCATCATCATCATCATCATCATCGTCATCGTCATCATCATCGTCATCATCATAGTAATCATCATCGTCATCATCGGCATCATCTCCACCGCCGCCACCACCACCATTATCATCATCACCACCATCACCACAACTAGGATCATCATCATCAGCAGCAGATACAGCGGCATCATCATCATCTTCATTATCAGCATCATCATCGTCATCCGCATTCTCACAACCATCATCATCATCATCATCATCATCATCATCATCCTCATCCTCATCCTCACCCTCATCTTCCTCCTCACCATCACCATCACCATCACCATCACCATCATCAGCAGCATCGCCATCATCATCATCGCCATCATCACCATCATCAACATAATCATCATCAGCAGCATCATCAGCAGCATCAGCATCATCATCATGATCAGCATCATCATCATGATCAACATCGTCATGATCATTATCATGACCATCATCATCATCACCATCATCAGCATCGGCATCAGCATCAGCATCAACATCATCATCATCATCATCATCATAATCATCATCAGCATCATCATCATCGTCATCATCATCAACATCAACATCATCACCATCACCATCACCATCACCATCACCATCACCATCACCATCACCATAATCATCATCATCATCATCATCATCATCATCATCATCATCATCGTCATCATCATCATCATCATCATCATCATCATCGTCATTTATCCATTATCTGCGCCTGCTCCGTGTCCTCCTCCCCTCTTTCTCCTCTTCCCCCTCCTGCTGCTGACGGCCGCATCGGTCTGTACTGACCTGGCGCCTGTGCCTTCCTCCTCCTCCTCCCTTCCCTTTTCCTCCTTCCTCCCTCCTCCCTTCTCCCTCCTCCCTCCTCCCCCCTCCTCCTTCCTCTTTCCTCCTCGCTTCTTCCTCCTCCTTCCTCCTTGCCCCTTCCTCCTTCCCCCGCCCTCCTTCTTCCTTCGCCTCCTCTCTCACTTGGCACCGCCGTGCGCTCGACCAGGAGGGCGCCGGCTGCCCGCCCTGCTGCGCGACGGTGGACGCCGCCCCGCCCGCGCTGGCGGCCCGAGGAAGGGCCGGAAGGGCGGGAGGAAGGGGCTCCTCCTCCTCCTCCTCCTCCTCCTCCTCCCTCCTCCTCCTCCTCCTCCTCTCCTCCTCCTCCTCCTCCTCCCCCTCCTCCCCCTCCTCCTCCTCCTCCTCCTCCTCCTCCTCCGAACCTCGCTGAATCCACTGCAGGCCCTGGCACGCGGGGAAGCGCTGGAGGCGCCGCCAGGGGCGTCCAGCGCGGACCCAAGAAATCCGCGCGGACCTCCTCCTTCTCCTCGTCCTCCTCTTCCATAGCCAGCCCATTTCCTTACAGACAGCTCCTCTATGTCACACTCGCAGGCACGTCGGTAGGGCGGACGGGCACTTCATCAGGGACTCCCTCACCATTCATGGTCCTGAAGCTTGAGGTTAGCGAAAGGTACATGGATGGAGCGGGACCGCTTTCAATTTTGAGCTTTCGCCTAGTTAGCGTCGCGCACACCCGTCTTAAAACCTTGCCGCAGTAGAAAAAATGGAGGCTGCTCCTTCTCGAAATGGGGACCTCGCGTCTGCGCTGCGCGCCTGCGTCGTCAAAGCTTGCAGCAGGTACAAGGATGGGAGGAGGGAGGAGGGATGAGGGAGGAGAAGGAAAGGGAGGGAGGGAGGAGGGAGTACGGGGGAGGGAGGAGGGGGGAGGGGGGA